AAGTCAGTGTAACTTGCACATACTACCATATATGGTAAATATTTCTTATGAATATGGATAAACGGGTGATTATTGGCTTTATTATGCTACTGTACGCCTCTGCCAACATTTCCCACCCCCGTGCCCTTAACGCTCACTATGATATCCTCGCTTTCGTCTTCGTCTACATCTCGTAAACCCCAACTGCTTGCCCCAAACTTTTTTAGATCTCTTCCTAGTGTTATTAGGTCCTCTGAGGCTATTATTTCTCGTCCTAGTCTCAATCTGCCGATATCCTCTGAACCCATTGCCATCATTGTCAGTACTGTGGGTGCTCCAGCCTTCGTCACACACCCTCCCTGTGATATAATTTCTAGCAACTGATATGCACACTGCTTTCCGATATCTTCGGGTGCGACACCTCCTGCACTCGGGGAGACCACATCCGCCGTATATATTACACCCGCAGAACTGGTCTCCGCAATCAGTGCCAACCCGAAACCTACTCCTGTCCTCTTTTTCGCGCTTGGATTCGTTTTGTCCTTTGCTGATACTAGTGGCGCTTGATCGTACTGTGTCGCAACATGAATATCTCCCACCAATGGATTCAAAATTCCTCTAGCCTCGTGTATCATTCTCGCATTATGACTGTTGCTCACACCTGTCGCATATGCCACTCCTCTTATCCTCCTCACCCTTCCAGGACTCCTGTTCAAATGCAAAGTTTTAGGTAGCGCCTTGATCTGGCTCCCAAACCGTAACTCCACTACGCCTCCACCACCCTTTCCTCCCGCTCCCGGACAACTTCTCTGTAAAACCCTGATTTCTAATTTGCTGGCCATGATTCCGAATGGTTCGTAAAGTGGCAGAATGGCCGTTCTGACACTATCCACTGATATATCTCCTGCTTCCGTTGCGCTTGTGATAACTCCTTCTCCCTCAAACCTTACATTGACGGCCTTCTTTGCAAAAGGCGCAAGCATACACAAAGGTAGCAAGAAATAACTAACTCCCCGAGTATTATTCGCCGGCAAGTGGCATTTTATCACTCCATCCACATCTGCACCCAATCCATCAATTGATCCAGCTATGACACCTGGATTGTAGACCAGCGTTGTACCGGTGTAAGATATCTGTACAGACGATCCATTGCTGACGGATTCTAGGAGGCGCAAGAAGGATACTTCGTGAGGTGCAAGACCCGGATTGGTAGGTGAGGAGCTTCGGATCTGTGAGATATGAATTGGACGACCTGTTAAAGCAGAGAGGACGAGTCGGTGGCTTAGAGACTTGTGGGTTGTAAAGCGAAGAATTTCGGGGGTAGGGGCGGACATTGTATATTGTGTATGAGGTTTTTGTTAATTCAGATCGACAAAATTTATTTTTACGATAAATAATTCTGCCAGCAGTCACTCCTGATAAGGAGGCGGTGAGTTTCGCATTTCCCATACATCCTCCCCGTACATTTATTTACTACTTTATCTCGATTCGCTCATTCTTCATTTGGCGTGCCAGTTCATGGTTAGCAATGGTTCAAAAGCGTTCATTCAGGCTCTGACAATAATCACGACCTTTTTTGTGCCTTCATGATACAGAATATGAGATCAAACAGGAATTCGATGCATAACTTTACGATATCACATTCACACACGCGCAAGTCCTCTGTGATCTATAAGATTTGATCAGAGAACGGTCAAGTAATTTGAGAATTGCCATTCATGTTTTCATGTCTTATTTGTGATTTTGGGCCAATTTCCTAACGTAAATTGAAGAAAACCTTAATGTCAAAGAAGAAAAGTGAGCGTTCATCCGGGCCAACTTGAAAATCCGCAGTCAACTCCCCACGCATCCGCCATAACGTGCTTTTCAGAAAAGGAAATTTGTACAAGAGTGATTTGTGGCATTCTGAAAAGCCAGGGGTTAAAAGAAATAACAATCCGATAGCTCTTAATGTTACAATGGGAACCCGCGAAGCAAATGCAAAACTATCAACCTCAAATCAAGACGATGATGCCTGAAAAGACGACGACTGGAGACCTAAAGGGGACCAATTCTGCTCATTAACCGATCTTGATGTTGATCGCACATGCTGGCCGCAAATTGTTTGGCCTAAGCTGGTGTATTTTTCGCTTTCCTCAGAGGGGAAATAATTCATGCTTCTGATTCAACAGCTGGTGCTTCCGCTTCCTAATATTCTGTTAATACTTGTTGCCTCAATTGCTCTTGAAGGGGGCTTTACCTCTGGAGATTCTTCTGTGACAGGGGCGGGGTCTTCATTGCCGGCAGCCTCTTCTTTGGGTAGTGCGGTAAGTGGCGTATCAAGGGCAGGTGATTTCTCCTCCGTCTTTGACTCATCGGTTTGGGCGATGCCATTTGCTGCCACGCTGTCGGATTTCGGCTCATCTTTCTCCTTACTATCATCCCTGGTGCCGTTGGCAGGGGCCTCAGTGGTAGCTGGTGCAACCTGTTCGCTGGCGAGAAGTCTGTTCCATTTATCAAGTAAGCTCTGAGACCTTGATTTGAACTGAAATTCATCTTCTTTGGGAATGACAGGTAGCTTCAAAATGGCCTTGAGAACTTTGTTTATTTTGGTTGCTCTGATGATGCTAACCTCGAGATCGGCATAACCTTCGAGTTTGTTCACATACTCGGACATTTGTTGCATCTCATCTGCCTTGGGCTCTTGGTCTTTAGTCAGGAGACCTTTTTGAAGTTTGTGCCTTAGGAACAGAATCTCTTTCTAGAAGAATTGTTAGATACAATCACTAAGGTATTAAAGGAAGTCAACAAACCTCTTTTTTGACCCTTTTCTCCTCTGGGGTGAGTTCTGGTTCAGGAGGAGCGACAGGGGCGGCGTCTTTGGTCTTCGCAGCAGCCTTCTTTGTCTTGCTCTTATCCTTTGCGGACTTGGGTTCCTTTGCTTCTTTGGCAGGCTTTGGAGTAGATGTACCATTCGCAGCCTTTGGAGTATTGTTTAACTTAATACGAGGCTTCTTTGGGGCGGTATCAGGCTGCTGCTGGGTTGCTATGTTAGTCTTGATAATAGTAAAAATTCATACTTGAATGGTAACATACAATATCATCCTCGGGAACCTGTGAAGGGTTTTTGCGCTTCTTCTGAGTTGATTTTGGTGCTTCGACCTCCTCGTCATCAGGAATAGCACTGACATCCATCATCTCTGTGTCTTCATTGTTATCCAATTTAGGAGCAGCTTTCTTTGGCGTCTTTTCTTTCTTCTCTTTCTTTGCCTTCTTAGCTGCCTTTGCAGCCTCTTTGGCTTCCTCGTCCGCTCTCTTCTGCTCCATGAACTCTGTTAACACAGTTTTGAAATAATCCAAATCGTTTTTTTCGGCGGCAAGTTGATGCGCAGCATACAAATCTTTGCGCATATTATTGGGAACGTCCCCGACTGTATCTAGATCGAGATCAAGGAGATCGTAATTTGGTATCCAGCCACTAAATTGATCAGTAAAATTCATGTCAAGGAGTTTTGCTAGGCACTCACAATTCATTCGTAAAAAGATACATGACAGGGAAAGTTCTGTCTTTAGCCTTAGAACCGCCATCTTCGTAATCACTTCTGTATGTACCATCTGCTCTCATTGCTGTGACTGGGCGAGATTTGATGAGGGTGCTGGGAAGCATATCCTCGTCGCAGACAATTGCAGGCCACAAAGGATATCCCTTCAATCGCACATAAAAGTAATCGCCGGGTTTCGCGTCCGTATGCGTCAACTTCGCCTTGGATTGCTTTTTATTCAACTTTTTCTTGTGTTCTGGCACGCCAGACTTGCGTCGGCCCTTTGACTTGCTGGCTGAAGCTGGTGTGCTGGCGGTACCATCTGCTAACTCTGCAGACTCATCCGCTGCTTGAGCTCCATCATCTGATTGTTCTTCGCCCTTCAATTCTGCATCGTCGCCATCTGCGGGGGTAGACGCGGATGGCGCCTCCTGCACTGAGCGATCGGGAATTGTTTGTTCGTCCATTTTCTCTGATCTAGCTTCGGCGTTGCTACTCTTAACTAAACAAATAACATCAGCAAAAGAAAAGTGATGAGAATTGAGACAATAGAAAAGCAATTGTACCTTCTTCCGTCGCGCTCGTACCGGAAGTCGCGACTGGATCCTCGGAAACAGCTTCATCCTCAGCACCATTGCTACCGTTGGCGCCTTCCGACACATCGACTTGGGGCTCTACAACAGCATCTGGAGCTGAAGTGCCTGGGGACTGAGGGGGCACCACCTCATCTCGCGTGCTTGCCTCATCCGCCATTGTCGCGACACAGCTTCAAAAAAGTTCAATGATATATGTAAGGCGTATTGGTAGGATAGTTATCGACGCGTAAGGGATGTGTGAGATGATTAAGATAATCGCGGATAAATAATCTGATGGAGGTGATAACTTTTTGTTGCTGCTTGGGAAGAAGGAATTCTAGAAATCAAAATGTCGCTTGAAAAGAAGTTACGCCTGCGCGCTAGTGAGGCAATAGTCACGTGGTGGTGCGGTGGATTCTGTACACAATACACTCTCGACTACCCCCAGCCTCCCGGATATTAGTCGGAGAGGGTGACGCGAAAAGTGAGTTCCTGATAATAACAGTACAGTAACAAAGCTGTACTAACTTGTAATTGAATATGACATTCAATGTCAAGAGTGAAAAGGTATTGTTGAAGAGAAAGAGATGATAACAGAGAATTTTTTGACATGATAATAAACAAAAAAAAATTGAAAAAAAAAGTGATCAATAAGACATCATTGACAGAACCTTCTGTCGTGTCATGATCAACACACGAGTAAGAATCCGCCCACTGTTGGGCCACCTTCTGACGTAGCCAATCACTTTGCGAGCGGCGTCCGTGGCACAGGCAGCACAGTCACAAATATCGAACAAAACCCAATGAGGATGCGGAATCCAAGGCAACCCCCGAGCAAATCAATCAATCTCGAGATATGCTTTTGACCAACTAAACCTATCTATTATACAGCAATGCTTCGTCGAGACAAAGGGGGGAAAGTGGCTCATTCTTCATCTTCGTCTTCTTCGTCTTCATCTTCATCCATTCCTTCTGCTACCGAGACATGGAAACTGGGATCTTGATCGACACCCACATAACTGTCGCTCATGAGGAACAACTTTAGATCATGTTCTCCAGGTGTTGGTACCGTGTATTCCAGCCGAAGGTTCAACGCTTTCCCGATTGTAACCCGTTTGATCGCAAGTAAAGTTTTTGTACCTTCATCGCCCACGACCAACCACCAATTCTCCATTTTCTTTGCGGGGTAGAAGGGAGCATGTACGGACATGTCCACCTCTGCCGCATCATCATCTTCATCAACATCTCGCACAATCTTGATTTTAAGGTAAGCTGGTGATCCAGCCACAATCTCCTCCGGATCCTCCACTTCAAAGTCAAGCTCAATGTTAGGATATTTAGAATTCGTGAAATTGGCTGCCTGTGCCAATTGTGTTTGCGAGAGACCAAGTCTCTTGATGAGAGCTTCATAGTCTGGATTCTCGGAAGGGTCCATTGCGTCCATAAACTCGAAGATGTCCTTGATACTGTAGAGATGTTTGATTAGCGGAGGTACTTGATTAGTGTGAGAATTTAAAACATACCCAGATTCATTTGCAGCCTTGATGACCTCGGGCGTAAAGTGAGGAATCTGTTTCAAAGGACTATCGCGATCCCACATCCCTTGCACAACCATTTGTGACATTTCCATGGCGTTCATGGCGTTAATGTGACCGTCTGAGGATAAAACATCTACAGTAGCACTTAAGAGACCAAGAACTTTGGTTAAAATGATCTCTTGATCCTTAGCAAGATCAATCGGTAGCTGCATTCTGGAGAAATGAGCTTGAAGTAGGACAAATGCCATGAAGTGCGGTGAATCAAAGCTTGGCTGAGCCATCTTGACCGGAAGTCGATCATATACTCTACGAAGCAGATTGTCTTCGTGTCTTCTGATCTGTATGGTTTCGAACTCAGTTGCTGAAGTGACGATTTCCAAAATACCCTTGAGCTTGGTACGGCCAGTCAGTGAAAGCAAAAAGGTCTGCATGGTGACGTATGAGATGTTGTAATAGGCAGCAATCATTGCTGCGTTTAATGGAGTGACGGAGTCGTCCTCTTCATCCAAATCAATGATCTTGAACTCGGCCAGATCTTTCAGAGTGGTTTCTACAAGCTCCGAGAGGTGGGCACTAAGGCCTTCATGTGATGTATCTTTGAGACTATAGTAGCTGGGGTTTGCAAGCAATCTTCGATAGAAATACGTAAAAGTAGTCCAGTTAATGGCATCGCTAGCTGACTCGATCATTTTGGTACTGATCTCGGACACGAAAGCATCATGCAAATAAACCTGAAGATGACTCTCGATTGGAAGAGCTTCATTCAAAAACTTCTTGTAGTACTCTCTCTTAACAGCTGGTACCATTAAAACACCCCTACTAATTTTGTCTTCCAAAGGTCGTGTTGCTTTGCCGAACATTTGTAGGATCTCGCTAAGAGGATAGTCGACGTAGCGGTGCTCCCTGCCTTCATAGAACTGCGTACCCATCACAATGACTAGATGTGCTTTGCAGTCAAGTTCCCAGCAAACGTCACGAGATGCTACCATTACTTGTATTGCCCCATTATCATAAAGATGTTTCACAATACGTTTATCGCTTGTGCTAAGAGCCTCATGATAATAGCCTATGCCATGCGAGATAGATTCTGCGAGAGCTTCTTCTTGGATTCGTTCTAATAAGGGCTTCATCTCATCCACGTCGGCGTGCAGGAAACGATCTTCATCGTCGCTAGCTAGGCATGCCAGGAGTAAATCACGGGTTGTGGCACGGGCTTGCTTTCTACTAGGAACAAACACAAGAGCAGGCTTGTCTGGCGACATTTGATTTATGGCAAGGTAGGTTGGCTTTGCCATGGCAAGCATGAGAGAGGGGAAATGGGGAATAGTGAACGACTGAATATGAAGCTCGAGAGGAACTGAACGAACGTGAGGACTAAAGTTGTAGATGTTGTGCTTTTTCGCATCTATCCATTCTCCAATATCACGAGCATTGGCGAGCGAAACACTTAGCCCCACGATTCGCAATGGTAACTCGGTTTGTGATCGGATATAATGCATGCGAGAGACAATGATCTCATAAACAAAACCAGCCTGTCCACCAAGCATGTGCAGTTCATCTGCGATGAAAAGTTCAACATTCTGCACATTCTTTCGACGTTGCCATTGTCGCGATAGAACATCCCATTGAGAAGGCGTTGCGAGGATTAAATCGCCTCTCTCTAGAAGTTTGAGGTCGGCAGTGGTCTCTCCTGTGAGCTTCACAATTTCTTTGCCTCCCAGAAGTGTCGAAAAACGCTTTTGCCAATCTTGAAGCCGAAGATCAACAAGTTCTTGGAATGGCGCAATGTAGACAGCACGTCCTGCGTCACCCTTTTTCCAGTGATGGAGCAACGCAAACTCTGCGCAAACAGTCTTGCCGCTTCCGGTGGGGGCTCCAACAAATACATTATCATCAGTATCAAAAAGAGATTTAAATGTTTGTGTCTGAATCTTGTTGAAGCGATCCCAGTCTGGGTACAATGATTTGAATTCATCGACTTTTAGGGCTGCAACAGGCAAAGGCTGTAAATCCAATAATGGTGTATGAGGTGGAAATTTCTCGGGCAAGATGAGCTTCTGGAACGAGACTGCAAGCTTGGTTTCACAATTCATCCATCGGTCCGAGACGACAGTGATGAAATAATGTGGTGGCATGGGCTCTGTGATGGGGACTGTGAATTCAATAAGATGCTCGTTCATTTCAGCTTGAGCGAAATCTTTACGAAGGATAAATTGATCGTGGAAAAGAATATCCTCGCCGTCACAGTCTTCAGCAATGATCCAGAAACTTTCCGCAGCACCATGGATTTCGTCATCCCACTCAAACTTGGGTGTGATGGTCAACTCTACTCTCAGCATTGATCTCGTCATCGGTTGCACTTGTGCCTGAACTTCCAGTCGTGGAAATTTTGCAACAAGATTGCAGACAGTTCGGCCTGCTTTCGGAAGACCTAATAATTCGCCCATGCGTGGCGGATCAAGATCAAAGTAGTTGGCCCATGAAACGTCAATTCTCTCGGCTTTTTGTATGATGTCCCTAGGACATCCGGCAAATTGTCTGAGTGGTGACATGGTTGGCCACATGCGCTTTTCTGCCATTTTGCAAAGCTCCAAAGCTGTCCTAGCTACCGAGGACCACCCCTTCTTAAGAGTGATTTCGAAAATAGCACGCAAAATTCTTCCAGCTGACTGAGTGACGTAAACCAGATCTGCCATCAATGCTAGTCCATCCAATTTTAATCTCGAAACGTAAGCCTGCAAAAGTACATTTATCTTGGCATGAGGCTCCTCGACACTTTCTTTCACAGGGATTGGTACACGCCCTAGAAGTTTGGCTAGTTCTAACTTTTCTTCTTGACGAACTGGGATGTACTTGAATTCGTCACTCAACGCAAAGACGCGGAAAAGTTCTATTGGCGTGATCGATGGTTGGAGGTGGTGGTTATAAGTCAACATGGAGTTGTGTGTGATATAATAATGAGATGCAATTCTACCAAGTTCAGTCGCTTGTAGTTTACCTGTCTTCTTGTCGTATTTGATAAGGTTAGACTTCTCCAGCACTACAGCCGCAGAATGGATCAAATCAACTCGTTTTTGCTCCAAGGCGCTGTCATCTTCATAGTCGGCTCCTACGCTGTACAACCCTGGTGACCGCAGCATTCGCACGAATAGATAAGTGTATCCTAACCAGTCAACACCTTCATCGCGACTACGGACATTACCAAGAACAACCTCTGCGTTTAGATTGTCTACCAATCTGCTCACAAACTGACTCTCGATTGGCAGTTGTTGATTCAAAAGTGATAGATAATACTGCATCTCGTTCTGGGTGGTGATGATGATACCCTCTCCATATGTGTCATATTGGGGACGACCAGCACGCCCAAGCATTTGGAGTACATCTTGTGGACTCAATTCCACCCAACTACCTTTCTCCGGGGAGTAGACTTGAGTACCTTTGATGATGACAGTATGTGCTGGTAAATTAACACCCCATGCCAATGTAGCAGTACAGACAAGTACTTGAATTAAACCTTCATGGAAAAGTTCCTCAACAGATGTTCGATCTGGCCTGTTCATACCAGCGTGATGTATTCCGAAGCCGTAGGGTAACAAGTCCTTGAGCTCTCGGTCGCTGACCTCTTCGGCCTCAGAAGCGAGAGTCTCTCGAGTTCCCGACACATCACTCCGCAAAATTTGTCCAATTGTCTCCATTTCCAAGGCTTTGTCTCGAATATATCTAGCTGTTTTGGCGGTCTCCTTACGTGAGTGCACAAAAATAATCATCTGGTTTCGGTTTGTCCCTACATGCTCCAAAACCTTGGTATAAGTCACGTCATTCATAGTCTTCAGTTGTTTGATGGCCTTCTTTTCGGTTATTCCAACGAATTCCTGGCGAAGTGGACAAGGACGATACGATCCATCAAAATGGAACATGCCTTTGAGAGGATCAACGCGTAGAAAGCTTGCGACGTCACGGTAATTTGGCAATGTGGCGGAGAGACCTATCAGACGAACAGGATCACCAGTCTGCTCCATCTTTCTGATTGTCCGGCTCACAATACTTTCCAGAACAGGTCCACGGTCATCATGTAAAAGATGGATTTCATCGATAATAATGAGACGCACCAGATTGGTGTAACTCAAATCAGTAGCTTTTCGAGTGATGACATCCCATTTTTCAGGTGTTGTCACAATGATTTGGGTATCGGCAATTTGTTGTTTTGTGAGCTGACGATCTCCAGTCAATTCAGAAACCTGGATGCCATATGGCTTTAGTCTGGCACCAAAATTTCCTACTTGTTCCTGAACCAAAGCTTTAAGCGGCGCAATGTAAACAATTTTGAATGCGTCGAGGTTGATTTCTCCGGTCTCTGGATTGCGATTTTTGCCGATTTCTCGTAATATAGTCAACATACCAACATTGGTCTTGCCACTTCCAGTGGGCGCGCAGATAAGCATATTGCCATCGTCTTCGAAGGCTGTCGGAAAGCACTGAGATTGGATCTTGTTGAGCTTGACTGTGGACGAGAATGGAACTCGCGCCCATTCAGGCATCTCCGTAACTGGGATATCACGATCAGAAGGATCATTGCGCTTCTTGGGAGGCGGTACATGAATCTCTTCATATCCTTTGAAAGTACGCTTTGTAGATCCCTCTGGCAACTTGACCTTGGGGTTTGTCATCAAATGATTGCCTTGATCAAAGACAAGATTTTCAAGATTAATGAGCTTCCGCGGTTGCAGCCCACCAACTAAACCATCTCTGTCTTTTTGCTCGTTCTTGGTGCCGCCATTAATGTATTCAGCTGGAACGTCAATATCCATTTTCATTTCTAGTTTCCGTTTCTTCGATCCGTCTGCTGGCGCACCTCCGCGAAGCTCATCCAAGATCCATCGTAGTCCCTCGGATGCAATTTCACGCTCTACAACACCTCGAGCTTCAGCATCCTCAGCCCTAGCTAAACGAGTGAGCCAGACTACCTTATCCCGATTGGCGATCAATTTGTGTACGAGCTCATGATGCTCATAATCAAACAATTCAGCAAGGTCGTTTTCGATTTCCCTGAGAGGTTTCTCATCCCCGCCTTCTTCCGCGGGAGCTCCAGAAAGTGTGTGGAGTACTTCTTGTGTTTTGAGCTGTTGTACATGCGCATCTGTGTAAACTGAGCCAATTTGTCGTTGCAGCCAATATGCATCAATTTCGCGTGCGGGTATGAAGTCTTTTTTGTCTTTAGATGAGTCAGCGTTCTGTGTTGAACCAGAGTCCATAATTATTGCTTCCTCTTCGGGCAGTTCCTGGGATTCTTCATCTCTATCCACTCCAGCGCCACCAGCCTTAGCGACTTCCTCGTCACCAGGGCGGTCTTGAGCGTCATCCTCATCTTCAGACGACTCTTCTCGAATTTCATTAAGCACCTCATCACCCTCCTCGTCGGAATTATCGTCGAATACAACAGCTACTCCTTGGCGATCATCTATTTCAGCGCCGTTTTCGCCGCCGTTATCTCCATCTGCCATCTCTTCGTCTTCATCTTGCGCGTCATAATCCGTAATCTTTTTTCCCAAGTTTACAAGCTCGTTGAACTGTTTTGGATTCATGCTTGCGCCTAGCAGGTCATCGATCTCCTTCTTCTTGTCAAAATCTTTCATATCATCATCCTTCAAGTATTCCAGCACGGCGTCGGTGGCGCTTCGAACAACTTCGTGAGGAACATCTCCAAGATTATTAGCGACTGTAGTTAAGATGAGGTCGTAAGTTGCTCGCGTTGCCGAAGTCCTAGGTCTATATCGAATACCCTCGACCAAGGCATCTGCAGCTGATAGGATTCCAGTCCCTCGCAGTTGTGCTGGCTCTCCACGCTTGCGTTTGCGCTGTTCTCGTTCTAAGACATCTTCGCCCTCGCGGTAACCTCCTCTCTCAACATCTGGAAGGCCTGAAGCTTTCTTTTTCTGTTTTGGCGCGTCCTCTCGGGCATTTCTCGAACCCATATCCCGAATACTGATTTGCCCCGCCAGTGATTCTGGATCTCCTGTCACCTCATCATTACGGCGAGTAACGAACCGACGGTCCGCCTGGAGAACCAGATTGGACATCGCCGCATACTTGTACTGCGACACATCGCGCTGTTGGTCCGTCATTGTTTATGAGTCGTCAATTTTACGGTGTGAGAAAGGCTGAAGCCTATATGGCGGATATTGAGAAGAAATCGAAAGAAGATGGCTGGAAGAAAGGTTTCAAGTCATCTGAAGTATTCCCTCTAAAACATGGATTATGAAAGTTATCTCCAATATACTGATGAATCAAAGAAGGTATGCAAAGAAATTTAACAGACGCCACAATAGAGGGTATTTTGATATCAGTTTACTAGAAGAGGTCTTCCAGTTCCCAAAATTCGCAAAATTAAGGTTTAACGCGAGGCCACTAAATTTACTTTTGATAGGCGCTAGTGTGTCTGCCGCCGCCTCGTGCCTACCTAGGTAGGTATTTTTTTTAAGGGAAGATTAGCACACTTTCCAAAATATAGGTCCTAGTTATAAATAAAAATTCCAATGGATTCATAAATTAAAATTTGGTAATATCTTGAAAACTTACAAAATGAAATGAAATGTTATGTGAGATATCCTGTTGACAAGTTAACAGTTGAGACGACTATATATTAAATTGTTGTTGGTTCGATTTTATATGCCACGAACCAAGCGGAGCCATATGCCGCTACACGTCAACAAGACCATTCAATCATAAAGTAAAGTAAATACAACTTTGTCTGGAGCAACACAGCCTACACATTTTCACACCAGCACACCAGGACATCAGGAGTCAGGTATCCGAAATTTATATCAAGATTTATGTTTTGAACAAAATGGATGATTTGACAACGCTTCCCGAGGGTATCAGACAAATACATCATACCTTGAGTCCTTACATAAAGCAAAGACAGGATGCTCTACATGTTCGGCATGTCCTCGCTGCTCACTTGAATTCCAATGTGAACTCTGGAGATAGCTTCTTGACGCCTGCAACTTTGTCTCTTGCAGAACCTACCTCTGAAGTGAAACAAGGATTGGGCTTTCCGGGCGTCCAGCATGATTATCTACGCAGCCTTCAAGCTAATTTGAAGGCTCAAAGAGACTTTGCGGCGATCAGTTCACAGCGTGATGAACCAGAATCTCACAGCGAGATTCAAGCAAAGACTCACGATAAATTTACATCCAAGGAGATATCTGTACATGCTTTCTTAGATCTAGAAAAGCGACGTCAGAAGAAGGAACGTTTTCGCATCATTCAAGATGTCGTGGATCAACTTGCACAGAAGCCTGCAGCGACACAAGATTATCTCGACTTGAAGAGCGTGGACGTGCTGAAAAATATTGGTTCCTTACCGCCAGTACCACCCAGCGTTATGGCACCGATAGAACATCTTCAAGATTCTGAGAGGACTGATTTGAAATCGCTCGTCGATCGATTAGAGAAGTCAGTTTTACGTGCACAACTTCTTCTCAAAAAAGAACAAAAATTATTGGCAAAAGTCAGAACTGATGCTAGCACACCAAAAGATCAGCAAGAACAGGGTAATCGACAGAAAGCACTGGAAACAACTCGTAATGAATTGATAAACTGGATTGAGACGGAATTAGGAAAGGCTGGAGACTCGCCAGCAGCATCAGAGGGACAAAATCCTAGCGTGCCTGAGAATATCGGGAAGGAATACATCGAATCTCAGCTTGCATTCATAAAGAAACTTTATGGACAATACCTTGAAATTAGGAAAAGGTTAATTGTCGCTGCTACTGAAAATCTTACTACATCACTTCCCGAAGAAGTCGGAACAGATGATTCCTCTGACATGCTCCTAGATGAGCCTACGAATGATACCTCTAGTACCAGAAACGCGTCGACATTTTCTTACCTAGAAGATCTGGTTCTCATTTCAAATGAGCAGAAATCTACTATACAACAAAGATCTTATCTCACTAGCAGTCTCGCAAAGCAGGGCAAAGAAGCCAGTAAAGATCTAGACAGGCTAGTCGACGAAAGTCATCTCTTACCTACCTATCCCATGCAGACTGTCAACAATCCTCAACGGAAAAGACTGGGGGAGCCGATTTCCTTCGAACAGGAAATTTCGAATAGTGATAAGCCAACTTTATCCAGCCGAGCCAAAGCTTGGGTCTTTGCAGCTGAATCGAGTAGCATTGCGACCAAGGAAGCAGTCTTGGAAAGATTGGAAGATGGGGAATCTGCTCTTGCAGGAGCTTATCAGACTCTCAACGATCTACAGCGTCTTTTGGGGTGTCTCCCCGAGGAACAAGGCGCAGAAGGAGATGCAGGCAGACAAAAGTTGGGAATCTCGAATATCGGCGGAGTTTGGTCTACTCTGGATGGCAATCTTGGAGTTATAAGGACAGACGATTTGACGTCGGATTGATCACAATCATAGGAGATTGAGCTCATAGGTTGTGATTTTCAGGATTCAAACATCAATGGCCACGTTGATGCTTTCAGACTTGATTAAGCAATATTATTTTAACCCAATAAAGATGGTTTGTTAAGATTGAGTGTGTATGTTGTGGGTTTAATTGAGGTCTATATATCACCGAGCAGAATCCGCTCGCAGGTTCAGCTGGCAGAACTATTCTTCTGGCTAGATTTGCTAAAGCAAAATATTTCTGTTAGGTGCAGGTACTAGATAGCCATTGTTGGAGCTAAATCTGGTATTAAATTTCACAGTACCATACAATATGATTCGAATGAACACTCCCTTTCATACCAATGGTTTTCGAATCAAAATTACAGACTATAGGATTATTGTATATATAATATAATGCGTGTGATGAGACAGCCTATTATCTCTTGATGTTGTAGCCTCGCGCTAAAAATGTCGCGTAGAGTGGAATTTCACGACGCGTCTCCCTTGAATACACTTTCCATTATCTGAAATCCAAACTTTCTTACGACTTATAAATCTTAGAAAACCTCACAATTTTCTTCAAAATGGCTAGCTTCTTTGATATCAAAGCTCGTAAGGCGGAAGCTGCCTCAAATGGCACCACAAATGCAAAAGAGGAAGCTAAGAAAAATAATCGCATGCAACCATGGGTTGAGAAATAGTTAGTCTTTTGTTCCGAGTGCGATCTCTATCTTCAATAACTTTACTAATGGATTTTGTAGTCGGCCCAAAGGCCTAGGAGATGTTACGGCGCAAGATCATACCATCACCGTTCTGCAACGCACACTGCAATCCTCCAATGTTAGCACCTTCCTTTCCCCCTCCTCAGACCAGCTCTAACATCTCCTCTCCCAGCTCCCGCATATGCTCTTCTATGGCCCTCCAGGTACAGGTAAAACATCCACGGTGCTTGCTCTTGCCAAAGAACTCTACGGTCCCGAACTCATGAAATCCCGCGTCCTCGAACTGAACGCTTCCGACGAACGAGGTATATCTATTGTCCGTGAAAAAGTGAAAGATTTCGCTCGCATGCAGCTTTCCAATCCCTCGCCCGCATATCGTCAGAAGTATCCGTGTCCGCCTTACAAGATTATTATATTGGATGAGGCGGATAGTATGACGCAGGATGCGCAGAGTGCGTTGAGAAGAACGATGGAGACGTACAGTAGGATTACGAGATTTTGTTTGATTTGCAACTATGTGACGAGGATTATTGATCCCTTGGCGAGTAGGTGTAGCAAGTTTCGGTTCAAGAGCTTGGACAAGGGGAATGCGGTGGTTAGAGTGAGGGAAATCGCGGATAAGGAGGGTGTTAGGTTGGAGGAGGGAGCGGTGGAAGCGCTGATCAAGTGCAGCGAGGGAGATTTGAGAAAAGCGATTACATATTTGCAGAGTGCGGCGAGGTTGGTGGGAGCGGTTAGTCCGGAGGGCGAAGAGAGGCACAATGCAGATAAAATGGATGTGGATGAAAAGATGGTTACAGTGAGCAGCGTGGAAGACATTGCAGGAGTCATACCAGATAACACGATTGAGAAATTGGTCAATGCCATGCAACCGAGATCGAGAGGAGTTGTATATGAAGCTGTATCCAAAGTAGTCGTTGATATGGTGGCAGATGGGTGGAGTGGCACACAAGTCGTCTCGCAGGTATGGTTTTTTTCCTTCCCTCACAAAATGTGACAAAAGCTAACACACGCAACAGCTGTACCAAACCATCATCAACTCCGAATTGATCGCCGACTCCCACAAGAACAAAATCGTAGCTCTCTTTTCAGAAGCAGACAAACGACTCGTGGATGGTGCAGACGAACATCTCACCATTCTCGATCTGTCTTTAAGGATATCCAACATTCTAGGCAGTTCTTGATCGATGTTTGACATGATGTCATAATTCCGAAAGATAATTTGGTGTGGTATATGTATAGCAAAGGTATTGGCGTTAAGGTTACCATGAAAAGCAGACACGGAAAACGATATTAGGAAAAGCGTATGTAGCTATAGTATGTATCATGACCTACCTCTTCATAGTATAGATTAATATGAATAGATGAAGATTAACATAAGCCTGTGATGGTTACCGTTGATGTTAGCAAGCAAGGAGAGGTTCTGGCTGCTCCATAGTATCTCTGACTTTTGTTGCATATCTGTTGACTTGAGAAACTTTTGCATTTTTACTTCAAGTTGAAATTTGAAACGGACTGTCTTTTAAGAAAAGTCTCTTGATGGAAATACATAAGTTTCGAGGGGAGCTTAGTGTTGCTTGTTTAAATGTAAATACTAGAAGTGAATAGGGATGCTACACCTCGATACTATGTAGGTGTGACTGGACGGACCGTATGAGGTGAATCAAAGTGGATGGTTTCTAGCGGATCAAGATTACAATTTAGGATGTTGCTTGGACAACCTACTAATCTGTTCAAATGGCTTATCATTTCACAGAAGTCATATATAAGTAAAGCTTCAAAAGAATGGTATGCATTAATTACATAGTTAAACAAGTGAACTAATCGTAAAAGAAGATGGAAGTCCATCCAACCCGACCATCCAGCACCAAAGCAGAAATGCAAATGTACCAACCAATAATCGAGAACCCACAAAAGAGACGTTTATGTTCATGCCCATCATGTGCTCATGTGCTAATATCTTCATCCTCGTCGCTCACGCTCACGCTCACCCTCGCCCATTATCAATTTAACTACTCCATCAATTCAAAGTCCGCAGCTCCTTTGACCAACTTCTTCAACCTCTTCTCAATGATCTCCCTTCCATCGAGCGTCTTCCACACCTCCGAAGGAGCTCCTTTGACCACATCCCAGCTTTTCAGGTTGTCCGTCAAATGACTAAGATCTTCTTGCTTCCTCTCCCACTCATTACTTCTCCTGACCTCAATGCCGGAACTAATCAGTACAAGTGGTGTACTTGGATACTGTATATTCCTTGCACTACTAACCTCATTCTTCGTCAATGAATTTGCGACCAGAGATTCTTGAAGTTTAGCCTTGAGGAACTTTCCACCTTGATAAGCCGAACGTCCGAATACTCGATCTTCACGGGTGCGGCCATTGAAAATGGCGCCAAGTGTACGATCCAGACCGAGAGGGGAGAGAATGCCACGACCCCAGAGAACAAAGCCTCTCTGTGGTGTGCCGAGACGGTAGAGAAGATCTTCGTGGAGAGGGTCAATGAGAAGAAGACCTGCAATTTCACGAGCGTGTCGGGAGGAGAATATACGACTATAGATGCTGCCTACTCCTGCACTAGCGAGAATCCAGGGGCCTTCTTCGCCTGCGCGAGCTAGAGCTTCTGAAAGTGCGTCCGCTGCCATGCCTGCTGAGAACGGAGATGGCGCATTGTCAGACCATGCGATTCCAGGTCTATCAGAATAACAATATCGGCTGATGCTTCCATTGACAAAGGCATTCGTTGCAATCTGAAGCATGCCATGCTCGAACGGTCCCTCGCCAGCTTCAAATAAAACTGTTGGGTTCTTCTTGCCCTTTGAATCCGTAAGATTACCTTCGCAATAGACATGTATTTGGTATTTATCACCATCGACGTAATATCGCTCTCCTGGTGGCGCAAGGGAGGCATCGCGAGATCTCAAGATGAGTGTAGCCGACAAGAGAATGGTGACAATTGCCAAAACTACAAGAATGGTTGTAGATATCAAGACGGAACACCACTCTCTGAGTGTTCGGCGAGTCTCTGCTCGCCCAGTTAAGCGCTCCTCCTCTTCTATTTTGCCAGCCGCTACGACTCGATCTGTAACAATCGTCCATATAGCTATGAGCAGGGCCCAGACAACACTAGCAATTCCAACCCATCCCTCCTCTACACGAAGACGTGGGACAGCGACAATCATTATCATGTCGACCAATAGAATCACGGCGATGACAAGACATGTTACTTGTGCGGCTTTGGAAGGCGTCGAAAAGAAGAGAAGCACAATGAGTAGCAGACCGAGGGACAAAGTAGTATATGAGAAGTCGAAGAAACCAGAGCCTCTCGAGTGCATGCCTGGAGGAGAAACGAAGATTGATACCAGCAGCAACACCCACCACAGAAATGTGATGATGGCGAACAAAACTGTGAAGTATCGCAAAAATCGTACGCTCCATAGATTATATGGAGATACCTATATAAATAACCTATTAGCATAAGATTACAATAAACATCTCATCGGGAGATTGCAACCTTGGTGGCGGATTAAACAGAAGGGGGCGAGAAGCTTACAGCTGGATCATCGGGACTCAAGTAACCATCACGGCTTGGTGGAAGTAGACGAGTACGCTCGTCAGCTTCATGAGAATAATGAGGTTGAGGATGTACTTGGTGAGAAGCTACAGGTTCATTTGAATCTCCATTTTGAGAATGAGGACGAGAATGCACACTTCCAGAAGCTGAAAGATGTTCGCTATCCTTCTTGGAACCCCATAAGGAGGAAGCCATGATAACTATGTTGAGGAACTCCTGATTGTGGAGAGACTTCTGCGACAACAATCACGATAAGCTATATCGTGAGTGAAGAGATGAAAAGACTGATATGAAATAATAAGAGATCAAAATCTCCTGAGGAGAAGGATGAAATGAAAATAGATTTAAAAAGGAGATCAATCGTCACCATGAGATACTAGAGAGGCAGATAACCTGGGCACCGAGAATGTTAAGAGTTAAGACAATGTCAGAAATGAACTAAAGCTCAAGATCAAGATCAAGCAAGGAAAGAAGATCGTTTTGCTGTTGATCTAAGCCCAATGGAACTGGCGTCGTGCGCGTTGATGAAGCTAGGTAGCTTTTGTGTGTGGTAGATACCGGTATTTGTATGCGTATGTGGATTGTGATTGTTTACCTACCAGCAGCATTCTTCTGCTGCTGCTGCTGCTTCTTCTTGTCCTTGACCTTGTTCTTGTTCCTCTTCCCGTCCGTAGTATTGGTTTTAGATTTTGAGGCTTGATCAATGATCATTGATGGATAGATACGCAGCACATATGAAGGAGGCGGAGGTCAATGAATCAGGTTGTTTTGGAGAGGGAGGACCGAGGGAATTGAAGGGGATGATGTCATTTTTCTTTGTGCCATAGCCCAGTCCCTAGTACATACTAAGGCCGATTTGAATCATTTAACCAAAACCCCAAAAATAGAATTCTGCCTAAACTCAAAATGTATTTAGTATTTAGGTGTGTGTGAATAAGAATAAATGTTATCTACTATCGTATCCTTTATATAATATAATGCCCCCCCCTTTTTTTATATTTTCTTAAAACTAGTATGTGATTTCTTTATAAGTATTGGATTTTCTTTAATTTTTTTTTGTTTATTATATTTCATTTTATTTGTATAATCATTATGGTTCAACCTCAAGCTTTATTAATTTAATATAAAGAGTCAATTTGTAAATAATATATCGATAGGTATAATATTGATAATATCAAATAATTACTTTTCTTTGAATTTAATATTGAAATTGGGGTTAGAATTATTGATAGGTATTTCAATACTTGGGGATTCATTCGAAAGTTTAAAATCGATTATAATAATTTTATAATAAGGAGTCAAATTACAAAATTTTTTATTTTATTATTTAGTAATTAAGAAATGAAAATAGCTTTTAAAGTTGAAGGGTATAATATTTTTATAAATCATATTAAAAGCATACATTTATTATTAGGATTTAAAAAAAAGCTTATATTCGAAAACAATATAAACAAGATTAATGATTTTTTAATATTCTAAAAGATAATATCGAGTTGGAATATATTTAAAATTATAATAGGAGGTTATTATATATCTATTTTCGAAGAAAAGAGAAGTTTGTTTTAAAATATAATATTATCTTTTTTATTCAAAACTTTAAAATATTTTTATATTAATATTCTATATTTATTTTAAGAATACATTATTCGATATACTATAAATTATAAACTCTAAAAGGATCCTCTAACATACTAAAAAACTTCAATCCATTTATAAAGAATATCAAATCCCCAGCTCGAATTTTCTCTAATCCATTAATAAATATAATAAATTTACTATTATTAAAATCGAGATCTATATATATATTAATATATATTTATAATTCATTATATAAATATATATAAAAATAATTAATAAACATTCTAAATCAATTATACATCAATATCTGATATAATACTCTAAAAATAATATTATACTAAGATTTTTTAAAATAAATAAAAGAATAAAATTTTTCTTTATAATTGAAGCTTATTTTACATTCTTTTATAAAATTGATAAGAGTGTAAAAGAAATTTATTGTTTTTATATAAAAATAATATAATAATACATCTTTTTATATATATGTATATATATAGTTCTATATTCATATAGTATACTGGGAGCGAATCACAGGATCACCTGACCAAGTCACATGATCATATCACGTGATCATCGCTTAAGGCCCTTAGCCTAGAACGGCCGGAAAACCGATTCTTTATTAGCTCTTTCAACTCATACATAGCTAGGTTGATATAACCCTAGTGAAATCGAATAAGGAATAAGAAAGAAGAGCTGTATCTAATAGAATGGCCGGAAAAGGAAAAAATCTACGATGATAGAAAGCTAGATTGATAGGAAAAAGTATAAAATAAGGCCTTTCCCCCTCGAATATAGAATAAGAAATAAGGAATATTATATACAGTTTCATAAAAATTATATATTTCAAAACCTATTTAGTTGTTAATACAAACCAGCTTCCCATAATAGATTAATACTAGTCTAAACCCTTTTATATACTATATATACTATATACTTATATACTAGCTCATAACCTATAATAAGTTATAAGCCTAGTATCTCATATATACAACTAAATACAATATATACATATCGATATTCAATTCGAAAAAGTAAGGAAAGCGTTATATAATCGAAAAACAATTAAAAAAGCAATCGGAATCTGAGTATTTATTAAATTGTATCTAAATTCTATTAAGTTAATATATATTCACTCAATCCAAACACTTTATACATCACCTAAGTATATTTATATATTAGTACGAGTCTACATTGATTCCGAATCTCTCTCCAAATCCTTAGCCTATATATATATATATTATACTATACCCTTATTATACTACTAGATAGTATAAATAAGAAAGAATACTATATTATACTAAGTATATTAGTATCGATATTATACTATACTATACCTCGCTATCATAGGCATACTAGTATATATATACTACACCTCATTGTCGTAGGTATACTAGTATCAATACTACACCTTACCGGAAGTATACTACAAATCACTAGCATATATATACCATATCGATACTACACGTCATCGGACGTACACCTAACCCTAAACCTAACCCTTCCTACACATCACCGGACATAGTAGAGTTGAATATCATACCTCACCGGAGGTATAAAGCTAGTCGTCGATTCCTATCTATATTCCCTTATCGACCTATATACCCTTATCAACCTATATACCCTTATCAACCTATATACCCTTATCGACCTATATACCCCTGTCGAACTATACATACCCTGTTAATCTATATATACATCTGCGAACCCTAAATACACTTTGTATATAGCTATCGATCTATATACATCTACAAACCCTAAATACACTTTGTATATAGCTATTGATCTATATATACATCTGCAAACCCTATATACACTTTGTATATAACTATCGATCTATATATACATCTACAAACCCTAAATACATTTCGCATATAGCTGTCGATTTATATATATGTCTGCGAACCCAACACATACATTTATATATACTATCGATTTATTATAAATATATAAAAGTAATTCAAAACCTTTCTGATTGGATATTAAAAGAATATAAAAAGATACTAAATAATAGGGAATACGATATAATATAATACTATTGTTTTTATATAAAAATAATATAATAATACATCTTTTTATATATATATGTATGTATATATATAGTTCTATATTCATATAGTATACTGGGAGCGAATCACAGGATCACCTGACCAAGTCACCTGACCAAGTCACATGATCATATCACGTGATCATCGCTTAAGGCCCTTAGCCCAGAACGGCCGGAAAACCGATTCTTTATTAGCTCTTTCAACTCATACGTAGCTAGGTTGACGTAACCCTAGTGAAATCGAATAAGGAATAAGAAAGAAGAGCTGTATCTAATGGAATGGCCGGAAAAGGAAGAGATCTACGATGGTGGAAAGCTAGATTGGTAGGAAAAAGCATAAAATAAGGCCTTTCCCCCTCGAATGTAGAATAAGAAATAAGGAATATTATATACAGTTTCATGAAAATCACGTGTTTCAAAGCCTATTTAGTTGTTAATACGAGCCAGCTTCCCATAATAGACTAATACTAGTCTAAACCCTCTTATATACTATATATACTATATACTTATATACTAGCTCATGACCTACGATAAAATTAAAAACTATTTTTGGTTTGAAAAAAGTATTAAAAATCAATGTATTGAAAACTAATAATAAAAACTTCAAATATTATTATTATATTAATAACAAATATATATTCTTATTCTTTATCTTTTTTATAAAGATATTTGAAAATTTTTCTTAATTCATTATAATTAATCTAATTTTTTTTAAACTTTTTTGTTTTTTTATTTATTATATAATCAATTAACAATATTATTTAGAATTATTTTGAAAAATTGATAAATCAAAAACAATTTTATAAAGATCAGTATAAAAATCGAATTGCAATTCTTATAATTTATATTAGATAAATAAAAGAAAAAATAGATAGATATATAGATATTTGGAATAATTATAATATCCGAAAGGATAAAAATCAGTTTTATTATATCACGGGTAAACCTTTTATATTATATTAATATCTTTAAGGGGAATATACAGATAAAAGAAAAGCTATATTATCTAAGCTTTATAAAAAGCTTTTAGAAGATTGTGAAATCTAGAATACATTATCTATTATATTATAAATTATATATTTAATTAATTTTAAAGATATTGATAAATATCTTTTTCTAGTTATTATTAAATTTTATAAGGATTTTGTTTAAAGTATAAATATAATTTGAATACTATAAACAAAGTCACAAAACCAAAGCAAGAAGAGCTTATATAACATATTAATATATTACTTCTACACAAATATCTTTAAGATATAATGATTCAAATTAAAATTATTTTATATAAATCTTTAATATCTGAAAATAGTATTAATAAAATAATAAAAAAAAAGAAACTATAAGTAAAAATATAGACATATCTAATCTTTATATAAACTTAAAGACATACAAGAAAGAGATTATTTTAATAAGAATATAAATTATTAATTAGAAATAAACCTAAAATGAAATAAAGATAATAAAAATATAGATCGAGGGGAAACTAATTTGGGGTTTAGAGATTGATTTATTAGATTTTAAATGTCGTTTTTGAGATATTTATATAAGTAATTATTTTATGGATTTGTTATATATTATGAATAAATAATCTTAAATTATGATTCCAAATAAATACCTTTTTGCTTTATTAGTAAGAAAAAATATTATATATTTATTAATTTTTAATGTTTACTGTAATATAAGCATCCAAATATCAATATCGAAATTATATCAATTTTTTTTGATATCTTTTTTATATATCGGATTTGCGTTCTATTTTCTTTAAATCTTATATAAAAAGCAAAAACGATTAATAAGAAGCTATTTTATATCATTGGAATGTGTAATAAATATATTTTAGAATAATTATAATTAAATAAATAGATAATTAAATATACAAATCAACAAAAAAAAAGAAGCAATAAAAGAGAAAGAATTATATATTAGAAGTAGTATTATATATTTTTAAAGATATAAATTCAATAAAAAAATCAGATTTAAAATTAAAAATAAAAAGAATATTTTTAGTTTAATTATATCAAATTTATTATTAATATATTCTAAACTAAGATTATATATCTTTATTCTAATCTTAATATTATAAAAAATAATTTCAAAATACTTCTAAAGTATATATTTAATAAATTAATTATACCTTTTTATTTTTTTACAATTCTTTTTTTTATTTGAATTAATTGAAAGAATTGAATTATACAAAAATTAATAAATATATAAATGAATTTATATCAATTTTCAATAATTATTTATTCAATAGTTTATATACCTAATTACAAAACAAGATACTTCCTTTATTTATTAAAAATATTCACCAAATACAATTACAAGAATTTAATAAATATTAATATTTTATTAATAATCCTAAAAAAATCCAATTCAATAATTTATTAATAATTCTAGCTAAATATAAAATACTTGCAAATTATATTTTCTAAGATATTAATATATTATATAGATTTTTGAAAAATAGAAAGATTTTTTAAAAAAAAAGGGGATTTTTATTTTATATTCCTTTTGATAAAACAAAATATTACTAATTATAGCTTTTAGAAGATAAATAAAAGTTTTTGTATAATTAGATAATTTTTTAGTTTAGATTCCCTAATCAAATTTGAGCCAAATAATCTAAAAAAAACTAATATCAAAATCCAAATACCTTTCCATTTTTTTAATTAAAAAAAAGCCTATTAATAATATTAAAATTAAGATTAAACCAATAAAAAAATATTTAAAGAAAAAAATTAAAACAATCCCTTTAAAGAAAGATATACTTGAAGTGAATAATGCTCAAGTGATTCAAAGTATATCTAAAGATATATCTAAATCTATACTTGATAATAATATCTCAAAAAGTATATTTTCAATTATACTATTTCTATTAGTAAATTATATACTACTAATTGATTAATTGAATATACTAACTAATATAAAGAATATACAAACTATCAATACTTTGCCTATTAATAACGAAAACCCCTCCTTTGATGAATTCAAACTTTCTTAATCTCCCTTTTAAAATAATCTAATTGATATTATGAATGATATCCTAATATTTCAAATACTACAATATATTAGATCTAAAAACAATTTATTTAAATATAGTTTTTATAAAGATTTAATTAATAGGAAAGCTGATAGAGAAAAACAAGTATAAATAAAACGAAATTTGAGTACCCTTTTTCTTTATTAATTCAAAGTTATTTATTATAATTATCTGATTTTTTATTTCATATAATTAATATTCTGTATATTCAAATAATAATTATAATTAAATTCTATTGTTTCTTAAATAAATATAAAAAAAAAGGTTTATATTTCTTATACTTTTATTTAAACTAATTTCAGTCTTTTCTTAAAAAATAAAATTTTAATTCTCATACCTAATATATATAATACATACATTAATAAAATATTAATAATAAATAATTCAAAATAAAAGATATTAATATTATTAATAAAAGCTTATCCATAAGTATATATTGATTACCCCTATTCTCAATATATCGTACTATTCCTTATTATTGATTTCAATTACTTGTCTTTTACGGCTATCAATAAATCGATATAATTTAAAACAAGTTATATATCTCTTAAAGTATATTATTATATTTACTTTAGATATTTTTAATAATACTATAAACTTGTTGGAATTCATATTATATATAATATATATTCTACTTTTATTTTATTTCTTATAATTTGTATATACACCTCGAAATTATTTTTTTAGCTTTACACAACCTACAAAAATACTCTCCTCCTTGATATACTTTTGATAGAAATATTGTTTTATAATATCTTTAAAAAAGAGATTAATAAATAATAAATAAATATTATAGAATTATATATATATTAAAATTGAATAATTAATATTTTAATAATATAAATATTATATAAGGGTTTATTTAGATTATTCTTGTTCTAAAACTATACCTTATACTAAATCTTTTTTTCGAAAAGCTTTAGATAATCTACATACATAAAATAATACTTTAATTAAAAAAAGATTAATAAATAATATATCAGAAATAAATAGAGGATATTATACAAATCTACAAGAATAATCAATATATCGATTTCTATTAATATAAATTGATTTAAAGAATATAGACTTTATTAAGTTATTTCTATTCCCCAAATTTAATAATATAAAAGCAAATTGAAAAAAAGGAGAATTATTAATAGAAATAAAACTAGAGATTATTTTATTGAATCGATTATACAATTTGATACTAATATTTTGGAATTGATTTAAAGATTTTTTATAAAAGAATTAATAGATTTAATTGTTTATTTATATTAAATATATTTGTTTATTCTAAGATTATATATATTAAGATAATTATATAAGCTTTACAAGAATAATAAAAAATAAGATCTACTCTTATACTAAAATCTAAAATATAATAATATTATTGTTATTATTATTGTATTCAAAAAATGAAAATATATTATTATTGATTGCTATGGTAATATATAAAGGAAATGTGATTTGTACAATATAATTATTTTTTCCAAGATTTCTATATACGCACTATATAAATTATAGAAATTTTTATTATGTAAGGCAAAATTCTATTTTTAGGGTTTTAGCCAAATGATTCAAATCGGCCTCAGTAGTACACCAGGTAGGTGAGTGGGCACGTGGTAGGTCGGCATATCGAGATATTGTATTGTATGGTAGATGGTTACGGGTTCCAACCTATATACCTAAAATACTCGGTATCGTTTTAAATAAATGCCGACCTCAAATTTAGACGAATTCTTTACTCAAATTTGTGGTTATTTAGTATTTTCAAAATTTAATATCAATACAACTAATATAGATATCTAATCGAATCTTTTTTTAATAAAAATAGAATCTATTAATATATTATATATCAAGATTTCAGATCTTTAAATATAATTTTAAAGAAATAATAATCAAAAAAAAATCAGATTTAAAAGTGATATTTTAAACCTTAATTTTAAGAAATTAAAGCCTGAAAATTAGCAAGTTTTGTTTTTATACTATTGATTTTTTGATTTCTTAAATAATTCGAAATTTAAATAAGATTATTCTATTTTTGAAAAGATATGTATAAAATTTAATTAAATATCTAATTACTTATAGAATTTTATATCTTTACTTTTTTTAATTAAATTGATATAGAATTTTGAAATAGGTGACTTTTAATAGTTTTTGGTATGATATACACTAGCTAAATTGAGGTCGGCATTCATTCAAAACGAGACCGAGTATGGTTGGGCGGTATAAATCATGATTTTTGGTGCTACTAACCTCAACCAATTGCCTTCCTGTCCATCCATGGATCTTCAGGAATGCGTTCAGTTCAGACGATGGATGACACACTCGAGCGCATCCTCGCCGTCTTGATATTACTAAGCAATTGGATGCTCTTATCTTATCTACACATCGAATGGCTGGTGGGTGTTTTCTGTGGCTGACGACATCATGGCTTTTAGCTATCCATCTTCTCTTTTCTCACCCCCTCTGGAACTTCATACACGAATTTGAGATTTCTTTAATTGGATTTTCCGTTGATAGCTTAGACTTGAATTTGTTCCCTCACAAATGATTTTCACCACCCGATACAAGTAATTTTTCGCAGAGTTGACTTCTGCAAATAAACTTCAAGATGAGCGATTTACAAAGGTCCTTTGTTAAGCCTAAGCTACCAAAATTTGCTCCGCCAGAATTCAATGAGGTCGACGAAGAAGAAGAAGAGATTGATATGCCTAGTGAACTACCCGATCTTCCAATAGATGACGATTCTTCCTCGGCATCTTCAGCTTCATCTACTGGCACCATCATACCATCCTCGAATCAGAACTTGTTTGCTCGGCGGCAAGGGTTTGTACTTGCTTATTGCTCATTGTTTGTGCCGGGCTGATACATTCTATACCATCAGTGCTCCCAATAAACGAACGATGGACCAGATACCGTGGACGACTTATTTTGAACGAGAACTGTTTCTCGAGCACAAGTTGGAAGCAGAGACGATAATGCATCATGCATATCTCACATCTCCTGTTGGGTCAGCACCTTTATTTATCACACATCATGGAGCAGGATCATCCGGCCTCTCGTTTGCTGTTCTGACGTCGGAGATTCGAAAAAAGTTACCTTCTGCTGGTGTACTTTCTCTTGATGCTCGAGGTCATGGTTCTACGGATATCTCTCCAGAGACAGAACTTCTCGATCTTAGTCTAGAGACCTTGAGTTCGGATTTGTTATATGTCATTGAAGCCACAAAAGACAAAATGAAATGGAAGCAACTTCCGCCTCTTGTACTTGTTGGTCATTCTCTTGGCGGTGCAGTGATTACAGATGTTGCAAAGGGCGGGAAACTAGGCAACTCAGTTCTTGGATACGCAGTTCTTGATGTAGTTGAGGGCTCTGCTATGGATGCTCTACAAAGCATGCAAACTTACTTATCGACTCGTCCACTAGGCTTCCCTTCACTGCAATCTGGCATTGAGTGGCACATGAGGTCGAGAACAATACGCAATTCGTTGTCAGCGCGGACGAGTGTGCCTGGGCTACTGAAGCACAACGAAGAAGCCAGTGGATCAAGATCGTGGACATGGCGCACAAATTTGGGAGCCACTCAACCATTTTGGGAAGGTTGGTTTGTTGGACTTAGCAAGAAGTTTCTTGAGGCCAGAGGTGGAAAGCTATTACTGCTTGCAGGTACAGATAGACTTGATAAGGAGTTGACAATCGGACAAATGCAAGGTAAGAACCATCTTTCTATATGAAGTCTGAAAAGAGCAGGCTTAGATTGACGATCAATAGGGAAGTATGCGCTGCAAGTTTTCCCCGAGGCCGGTCATTTTGTTCACGAAGACCTTCCTGAGAAGACAGCAATGGTGTTAGTAGATTTCTATTCAAGAAACGACCGAAGTGCATTGATATTACCACCAAAAGTGTCAGATCTTATTAGGGCTGGTAAAAGAGTGTGAACTCAGCTGGATATTTTGACCGACTACAGTAAGGGGTCTCGAAAAATCTGAAAGCCATATTACTACGTCATTGAAGCTCCTTGGGCAGTCAACGGCCGACATCGAAACATAACCTCTCGGAGTATCGAAAAATACTTGGCCCTCCAAGTGGCCTGCGTTTTGAAGCTTGGAGAGCACAGCAGGATGCTTAATGCGCGCACAGCACATTGAAAGCGGAATTGCGGCTGATATATTGTGGGTCTCAGCATCATCCCACCATTACTTTCCATCGAATCAGATATCCTTGTGAGCCTAGGTAGCTTACTACACGTGCGAAATATGCAATACTTCCAAGAAAGAGCAGCATCAAATTACTTCTCCTAGAATGTCACATTCGCCGAGCCTCAGGGGTTAATCGTACAAGGTAACCAATAGATCTCTCCCCGGAACATGAATTTTAATTTTCAACCGTTTAAAACGGAATCACGGGCTGCTAGGCATCCAGATCATCTTTTGTGGGGGCTAAATAGCATTACTTTAATCCATTTCTCCGCCTGCTCTTCCTCAGCTTTTTTGTGCCACATTCAACAGTCTTTCCATCATTCTATTTCACGTGAAAAACGGTCAAAATAAAGCTTTCATTTCACTGAGTGAACCAGTCAACGTAACTGTTTTCAATAACTGCAGAATGCACTTCTCAGACTCACTTCTCGTCGCTGGGCTCATTGCCTTTGCCTCAGCGTCTCCAGCTCCAGCTCCAGAGCCAACGACGCCATCTGCATCGTATGTTTGTCTTGCCCTTCTACCTACATCTCCCAAACTTTGGGATTTCATTCCCTTTCAAACCCCGTGACATTTCCTTTTTGTGTATGTCAACCGTACTTTTACTAACGCTCTCTCCCTCAAGTCAAACCCAAGCTCTAGTTGATGACCTCCAATCATACATCCTCGACCTTGCAACCCAACCCATAGTTTCCAGCCTTGCCACCGACACCGCTGCTCTCAGCTCTCTTGAAGCCTTACAAGAGTCCCTCCTATCCGACGTCAGGGATGGCGAAACTCCAAATACATCCGTGTTGACTGCTTTGCCTTCTCCTCTCGCCAGCTTCATCGGTTCCATCTACACGGCCGAACTGAGCATCGCCAGCAAAAATGGGTTTGGCGATTTGATAGCAAGCGCAACTGCTACTGAAGCTGCATCTGCATCGGCTACCGGCGCGTCACAGACGGCAAGTGGAACTCAGAAGACTTCGACGACTGGGTCGGCTTCGGCGACGACAGAATCGGCGAGTGCAAGCTCAAGTGCTCCAGTCACTGTCGAGACGGGTGCTGCTGGTGCATTGGGTGTTGATATGTTGAGCATTTGTGGAGGTTTGGCCGTTGGTCTTGTGGGTGCTGTGATGGCTTTGTAATGAAACTCGTTGGTATATACTACAGTATATATCATTCATGTCAATTTGAGATTTTCCTAGGTTTCGGAGACACGATTCCTTCTCTTGATGACAAGTAATGAATCTAATTACATCAAACCTTTCTCTGTGTGCAATCTTGAGACTGGGGAATATTACAATTACTTTTGAGAGCGAGTGAATTTGGATCCATCTTAGCCACTACCCATATGTAGTAAACCTTAATTATCTGATAAGACATGTTGGTGAATTGTTCTGACAGCTTGCCCCTTGCCCAGGTAGAAGTGTCTCTAACTCTCGGGTGAGATATATGCACGAATCACATGACGTTTGATATCTTTGCATATACATATACTACTTGAATTGGACTCTCTGAACGGCCAGTTAGTTCCTAGTCGGCGAAAGCGATTGTCCCCGAACGTAGTTCTTCTTAGAAGGGGTTTCAAATATAAAATGCATGAATTTACCAGTTTTAGTGAGGAAACCTATCAACATTCTTATGGGGATAATTGCGTTCGGGGACACCTGTTTTCGTCAACTAGGAATTAGTCGGCCACTTGGACAACCGACTATTAGAGCCGAAAGCTTGTCGGTGGTGGGGACGAAAAGGGTCAATCGTTGAGCCGTACGAGCACGTAGTAGAGTGAACGGAAGGCCTCTCGCGCGGTTGGTCTGGGTAACGATTCGAGTGTTGGTATGCAAAAGAGGAAATTGAGAGTTAGGCTACACCAAGAGAAACGAATTGAGGTTTAAATAAAAGCTAGTTTAAGTAAATATCTGGATATAGAGGCTTCTGTGGAAGCTTTGGTGGAGAGATGACTTTTTGTCGCGGGAGAAACGTAGTATCGTATTATATTCCAGGCGCTTATATATTATTGATGAATTTCACATACTGTGCCAAAAATGACGCAGAAGCCGAAGTTCATTACCGTCGTGAGTTGCCTGGCACTCTGGGATTGATTGTCTTTGTAATTGTGGTATTCTGATTACTTTGACCGAGTTTCTGACCTTATTAGTTTACAGAATGCCCATTCGAACCACATTTGTCCCCTAGGGTCGTGTGACAAATTTTGCGGTCGATATGAGCTGGCCAGGTCTACCGACGGACAACTCCAGGCCTGCAAGGTTCTGTCAATAATATTGTTTTCTGATTTTACTATTCTTCGAAGATAGAGACGTGTACTGGTGAGCATGAGGGATACAAGCCCAATTTGCGATCAATGGCATGTCTTGATTTGGTGTAAGGAGGACATAAAAGTAGTCAATCCAGATCGTATGAAGAGGTCGTTGCGAAAAGCTCTCTGCCTGGAGCGTGGCAATTTGATGGATTAATACCGGCTCTTGTAACTTCGTACCTAGTTTTACTTGTATATAAGAGCAGCGCGATACACAAAGTGGAATTCAAATTGCACATCTGTACAACGACACGGAGTGTAACAGTAGTCATCTCAAGCACCTCATTTTTTGTTTCAACTCCCATCAACTTAAAAACTTTGAAATGTCTTCCAGATCTTCCTCTCGTAGAAACCTCATCGGCAACGAAAGAGGAAAACGTAAACATGGGGAATCCAGCAGCGTTTCATCTGGCAATAGCAATGACCATGGCAAGAAGAAAGAACGTACCAAGCCTCCCAAAGAAAAAGATCGTGCAAGAGCTAAGGCAGGCGCCTCTTCAACAAAGCGTTCGGACTCTCAAGATTCAAGAAAAAGCTCAGAGAGATCCCAGTGGTCTTCAGACGGCGAGCTTCCGGAAGGTGTTACGAGCGCGACAGATCTAGCCCTCTATCGGAACCGAGGAAATCGCCAGCCATCAAATGATAGCCCACCGCCTCCACGGTCCCCGCCTAAACTTCGAAGAGAAAAGTCACTAGACTCTTTTCCTTCTTTGAGTGAGACGCAAAGCGAGAAAATTCGGTCAAATATTACGCAAATACGTATGAAGAAAGGATGGCTGGACCCCAATATTTCAGCGGACAGTGCAACAATAGATGAATATGACCGCCAAATCCGAGAACTTGGACGGCAATTGAGGCAATTGCGGAGAGGTTGACATATAAGACTTCAGAAGCAATGGTATGTTCCATTGGTATAAGAGTTATCGAAGACTTGTTGGAAATAGCAAAGGGTTTGAGTAACAAGTATGGCGTTTTGGCGAAAGGTGGGTATCGTGAATATGGAGTTCAGGATACCTGTATATTTTCAAAAGCTGTAAAGGAAACGTTAACTACTTTCACGATACAGACGATCGAGTGAAATCTAAATATGACACGTATCAGCTACCCGAGTATCCTACTCCTTCTTGCCATCAAAAGTCTTGAGGTATTGTAGACGTGATATCATACCACTTAGCATCGTATGAAATGCTGACAAACTTTACCCAGATTTACCATACTTGAATGTAAAGCGAGGAAAAACTTGACTAAAGAGTATCCTCTGCCGGTAGTGAGCTTTCGGGTAGACAAGCAGTGCGGCAACAGTTACAAGGTAAGACTGCTACTATTCGACGGGAAATCTGAAAAAAATTGTTGAAAACTTGGGTCTGTGGGTGAGTGTACTTATTGCTAGATAAATGAAAGCGCACGGGAACACATGTCGATCTCGTGAAACAGCTCGCCATTTTCTTCCAACAAGTTCTACACTGATGTGGTCTGTTGCTGAGCAAGATTGCGAGAACTCTTATGTCCAATGTCAAGAACTTGGCAGCTATACCGGTTCTGAAGAATCGGCCATGTTGACACCCTGACTATTCTTGTTCCGTTTCAGCAAACATCCATGCTGCAGGCATCATATTTCTTTCATTGGCGCATGTAGTCGAATTTGGAAATATCGGCGGTGAGGATAGACTATTCGTCCTTGGTTTGCTGTAACATTTTGGAACGACAATGATAATTGAGACGAAAAGCTATAAGAAGTAGACAAAGCAAACCATGCTAGGACAGGTATTTTTCCTCGATCAAACCGAGATCGACAACCTCAGTGCCCGCAAACTGGCGCTCATTGCGCTCAACCTTATATTGATTGTCGTTTCAACTCTCGACTCAAGCTTGTCTCTTGAAAATTCGCAAATCGTGCCACATCGAGTTGTCATAGCATTTCCAAGTCTTCAATTCCATAGATGAGAAAGAGAGAAAAGAAGGAGAAGAATTCTGGGCACACGGAACAAACAAATTGCATCAACAAAGCCCAGAATTCATCAGCAAAACTTACCCTTGTTCCCCCCTCACTCATAATGTCACCCAAGATCGTTCTTAATTTGGATTTCATGGCAAAAACAAGGAGGATCCCACAGGTCATATATTGCCCAGGAAAAGGACTCAAATTTCCCCGCGATTTATGCGTTTTAGTGTTTGTTGTGAGATAACTCGAGACCCGAACATGAAGTCATCGTGATTTTGTTTTTCAATCCAATGCTGGATGTGTAGCGATTAGCAAAATAATCACGATGACATTCATTCGAATTGCTATATCAGTGATAGAACATGTCCCAGATGGCGATGTGCACCGTGAAGTCGGCGAAACATGTTTTAGATCACTCGCAGGACAAAATGCACCCACGGTATTATAAGTCCTATGCTATAATCTTACCGACAGTTATATGCTGTACGTAAAGTCCACACGTAGTCAGACAGTTGTTTAGGCTTCTAGAGTCACAACGCTTAAACATGGCAATTGGTTGGTATCGATCCGTTTCGAAGTTTCCTCGCTCTGTCGAAATGAGCGACGGCTAGACTGAAGAAAAGTGGTATCAGACTATCAGACTATCAGTCCATATTCTAATTATCCATCATGGTAGGTAAGGGGGTGTTTTCCGTCTCTTCGGAGTCAATCACCGAAAGTTGCTTCAACAGTTCAACTTGGGGAGACTGGCGGACTCGAGAGCTAACAAGCGAAACCCACTGCTACCCACTCAGTGTACCAAGCAAAGACTTTACTCCGTGGGAATCATCTTCTGTGCACGAGTGGACACTTGCAAGTTGAATCATTGTTCCTTGGTTGGCCACATCATTTTTAATCTCGTATTCCTAGAAGTCGCAATCAAAAAGTGTAAAAGTCAAACAATATTTGAAATCCAATCCACTGAATTTACCAATACAATAAGACAGAGTTTGGTGGCTGACGTTAAGAAGAGTATAAATGATAGAGTCGGGACTATCGGTACGCGATACTCGATACTCGATGTAAAGTTTTTTTGAGACGACACCGAGTATCGTGAAGATGTTTGATGTTTCTGCGCATTTAGGCTATGCTTACTCAGTACGATTGAGCCTTGTTACTGTGCTTCGTCCCCTCCCCCTTCCTTCCCGTTTATTGGTGGTGCAAAGGCTAAGCTTCTGTCTGCTGCAGTCTGCAGCAAACACTAGGTTCCATGTAGGTCCTGCCCGTCTACAGGGGAAAGTTAACTGTTTTTCGTAAGGCTCAGGTACCCTCCATTAGTCCTTGTAAATCAATGCATTAACGCATCCTAGAATTAAGGTTATCCATAGGGAATCCTGAATGGTGAGTGATCTACTTGATTCTATGTCCGATATATTTGGACGCTTGATGCGGACTTTTGGGTACATATCGATGAAGGGGTTAACCGAAGAATATCCGAATTTCATTCAGCACATATCATCTACACCATCATCACATTATGAGACGGCAACTATTCTATTCTTCTAATCGTGTAACGTGCGTGCATTAAAACAGTATAACAGTATGTACGTACGTACCATGGAAGTGAGCAAAATTGACCCTTGTCATACTAATTTCCTTTTTCAGGGTTTTATCCTCAGCAATTACCTATGCTTCCAACATAATCCTCGAATCAAATGATCTATAGCCCACCAAGGTACATCTCGTCTAATAACCCTCCGCCTCCAATTCCATCCTCCGTCAACCAAATCTTACACCAAATTCACTCAAATCTCTCTTGTGTCAATCATCAACACGTCGAATTTGGTTCCGTGTAACTTTGTAACCAATCCAGATCCAACATCCTGGCTCTAGCGTTCAATCCTTCTTCTATTAAAATGTATAATTATATCCCAGCCTAGAACACTCCCGAGCCACCCCCCTCCCTCCCCATAAGTAAGAAGTGGTGCTGCCAAGGGTAAATGGCACATGCACCTGTAAGTTTGCGAAATGAGAAAGTAGTTTAAAGAATCCTCTCTTTCCAGTTTCTGACACTCCTCTCTTCTTTCTTATTCACTACAAACTGAAAAATAATAAAAGAAAATCAATCCTTTTTTCTTCTTCCCCAACCTTAATCTCTTGTATCTTTGATACTGTCCATTCTTTGAATTTCTTCTTCTCAATCAACCCTTAATATCAAAATGCGTTACCAATTCGTCTCCGCCGCCATCTTGGCCTCCATCTCCTCCGTCTTTGCCCAAACTCCTGGCTTTGACGCTATCTCAGTTCCAACCGACGGTCAAGTTGTCAAGGTTGGAGATGTTTTGGATATCACCTGGGCTCCTAACTCCGTCTCCGGAACTGTTACCATCAAGCTCTTGGAGGGTGCTTCCCCTGCTACCTTGAACTACGACCCTGTCGTCGTTGCCAGTGAGTTACAATTCCTCTCTATACATTGAAGATTAGGACAATTGTACTAACGAAAATACTTAGCCTCCGTCAATAACTTGGATGGATCATACAAGTGGACCATCCCAGCTTCCGTTGGTAGCTTCGCAACCTACGGTATTGCCATCTTCCTCGATTCCGATGTCAACACCTTCCAATGGTCATTCCCATTCGTCATCAACGCCGCTGCTTCCTCCTCTTCCTCCGTCATCGTTTCAACCACCGCCTCATCATCTGTTGTTGCTCCTACCTCCTCCGCCGCCGTAACCTCTGTCGTTGCCTCTGCTACCACCGAGCCACACGCTGCCTTGTCCTCGTCCACCAGCTCTGTCTTCTCTAGCATCTCTGGTATCCCAGGTGGATGCAACCCAGCTCACCCAGGATCCTGCCCAAGCTCCTACTTCAGCACCGTCACCACCGCTACCGCCACTCCAGCTCCAGTTCCAACCGCTGCCCCAGCCACCAACGGAACCGCTACCAACGGAACCTGGACTGCTCCTTCCGGATCCAACGTCACCTTGAGCTCCGGTGCTTCTGCTACCAAGACCGGTTCCGGTGGTGTTGTTGTCGCTACTGGCGCTGCTTCAGCAAAGGCTGCTACCGGCTCCTTCGCTTTGTTGGGTGGTCTCTTTGCTGCTTTCATGTTGTAAATCATTTCTCTTCGTACCGTTAAGATTTGAGATATAATAGATAATACCATGGTAGATATATATCAGCATACATTGGTGGATATAATCATTTGCATTGGCATTATAAGAATACAAAGAACATTCACAACGCATTGCGCGGCGCTAGACAGCAACACACTTTTCATTGAATTTGGTTTGGGTGCGGATTTAAAGCTTCTGGTTCCATAGGATTATAGGGTCAACAAATGTTATGATAAACTTCTTTTACATACCCATCACAAGTTTTAAGAATACCCCGTGTTATTTGGTCAATGATGGATGGGTTTTGAGGGGGAATTGTTGCAGTGGGTTGGCTTTTAGAATGATGAATGAAGTCAGCATTTTTGATCTTTATATTATATTTGTGCATACAGTGACTGACAAGTAACCATTTTGCCTGATGCTTGTGATGTGTATATTCAAGTTTACCAAGGGAGTTGTGCTCTGTCATCTTGCAACTGAATGTATTGGGCAGCCCAAAATCACTCATGCTTCCTGTTGTGCTTCCCTTGATCTTACCTACATCACCACAATCAGCCCATTCCCTCCTCTAAATGAGGATCTGGAAGATTCCATACATTCCGTTTCGACCCATCAAAGTTATCCACGTCGATGTATTTCACTTCATATACATCGGCATCTCAAAACCCACCAACCGGAAAGAGAACATTGATTTTCCGACGAGGATCGAGAGAGTCTCAACTTCAAAGTTCCATCTCAGTCGAGACTGTAAGATTGATTCATTCCGTCGTAGTGCGAGGATAGAAAACGTCTCGACTTTTGATCTCTGGGTCTGTAGTTGGATCTTCTGAGATAGTAGAACTTGGTGTATTGGATAGAAGAGAAAGGCTTTGAAGCTGTTCTTTGAATGGATTGTAGGATTCGAGAATGTCAGAGGAACGGCCAGTCGAAATCGTGTTGCTCTACACTCATATGATGGATGATCAGTCATATCATAGAGTATACAACACCTAGATCTAGCTGACAGTGAAAATTATGCTTGGCCGTGACACCTAGTTCTTGTTCCAGACCCATTGGAACTCTCAGGATCAGTTCTAGGCCACAGAAGTAGATGAATAGAGTTGTTTCTGTCGTAGAAGAAAAGCAGTCGTATTGTTCATATTGAATTCCGGGCTTAAAAGTGCGGACGCCCGCATTATCGAGACTTCTTGATGTTTATCAAAGTATCTGCTAGGGAGTAGGCATCACACCGCATCTTGAGTACGCGATTATATATTAAAAAAATGATCAAAGATAACTGGAGTGTTAGATGATCTGTAAGTTGTCTCGGGGATTATTATACAGTAGTACTCGTAGATAGATAACGTATTGAACCTTGCGCTGCTGTCGATACCCCGCGGCGGGGTAAGGTGGGTAGCACTGAAACACCAGCATGATCGCCCACTAAGAGATAATTATCAACCTTCCCGCCTTCATTTATAAATTGCTCCTTTCCCTTGAGGAACCGTTATACAAACTTGGGTACCTTCAATAATAAGCTCATCAAAAAGTATGTCACCAACGGCGACTTCTCTCGATAATGAACCCGCAAATAATAGTCGAGTGGGCGCAAAGGGGACGACTGTATCGGGCAAAAAGCTCAAAATCAGGTCGTACCCGAGGTTTGAAAGTTTAGAAGAAGAGAGATTATATCGCAAACAGCATTTGGCTGCTGCATTTAGGATGTGAGAATCCTCTTAGAAACTGTGATACTTGAATTGTTACTGAGATGTGACAGATTCGCCGATCGAGGTTTCGATGAAGGGGTTGCTGGCCATATGTGAGAATGCCGTCGAGTAGTATTCTAGTCGCCGATGATAAGAAGCTAATTAAATTGGAATAGATCAGTTCGTGACCCCATTCTTACTGATCACTTTTGGCTTAATCCCCTCTCGCAACATTTCTCTCAAATCTGTGTATCAGACCTTATCTTGGTGGATGAGGCAGCCTTCTGGTTCATTAGCCTTGATAAAACCTGTCATGCCCAGCTACTTGTTGATGCTGCAGCTTCAGGTAGTGGGAAGGTGAAGAAGATCATTGGGGATGAGGAGGCAGCTTTTACTTATGATCAAGTCGGAGGTATATTTGGCTTCTATTCGGGAGAAATTTACAGATTGCTGACTCAATGTAGGACCAGAAAAAGGGTGGTTAGCATTTCAAGGCTACTATGATGAAATCATGGCCAAAACAGGTGGAAACTTCCTAAAGTGACAGCCCAGAGGGAAATGGAGAGGGGATCCAATCAGCCCGATTGATGGTCTGGTATGTTCGCAGACGCTGTCGTGACTTGAAGAATCGTCTAATCTTGATTCTACCAATTCATGTACATAGAGATCTCGATGAACTAAATGTTTGATGAATGCTCTTTCATCTGTCGCTTATTTCGTAGCCATATTGTTCAATGTTGTAATCCTAGGCGCTTCCCCATGCATGAAGCAATCACGAGCATGCAGGTCTCCGTTTAGGACGCAATCGTTTCTCCGAACATGCGACTGACACGATAATCCTTCGAAGGGTTTTCATCCTAAATCTTAATGTTAATGAGACAATATTCAGGAAGTTTTCCTCCGCATCCTGCATGTTTACAATGATGGGGCATACACATCTGTCATATGTATTGTAACATCGACTAGAGTTTCCACGGTGAGCACGAAAGAGATCGCGACTATCATGCACCCATGAATTCGGGACTTCCTTGTGAGCATCCGGTACCGATCATTCGGATATGTTAGGGAATGGTGGCTGAAGAAGGGAAAACAAGAATGAAAATGGGGGATCGCTCTCTCTTCTTGGGTATACCTAGGTAGGTATCTAAAGGTGGGACTGATAAAATGTTGCCCAAAAGATGTTTGGGTAGCGGCCAGTTATCATCCATGAATCAGATTTGGGGCACATGTAGCTATGCCCTGCCATGGAGCTGACCGACGCAAAGAGAAATTAAGGCACTGCGTGTGACATGACGACAGCAAGGCTGACCACTATTGAGACCTACGTGGTAACATATGAGACCACTCTGTTGGGGATTGATCAGCATCAGCAGTGATTTTTCCGTTCTCTTTTACTCTTTTGTTCATTCATATCTTTCTGTTTTACCCCCTTGGCTACCTTATCCTCGGGGAATATCGACTACCTAGGTAGGTACTGAGAGGCAAGTGGAAAGATGTTGGTAGTTCAAAGTGACATGTTGTAGACATGGAATGAAATATAGTAGATACACCAAATGCATGTTCTTGCAGTATCTTCTGCAATGTAACTTTGGCTTGGTAGTGATCGAGGCGATGTACCCATTACCTCGGGAGGTGATGGTCGATGTAGATCTGAAATGTACCGGGTCTTTGGCGTGATTAGTCTCTTGTCTTGTCTTTTTTTAGTAGAGAGTTGATATGGGAATTGAGAAGCCAAGAATTGATGAGTTAGTTATTGTTTCATCAGATCGGAATGTAATGTCGTTGTGTTGATAGCTTGTCGCTGTCAGGTAGGTATGAATGATATCGATGTACAACAACAGCACACATACCTGGTAGCAAAGTTCGTAATAAGGCTCGAGACGAGCTAGAAGATCAGCCATTGTGATATTATCCATCCCATCCCATCCTTACCTAGGTAGGTAACAGTAGGTACGGTTCCTTTATTTTTCCTTGCCATCTTTGAGTAAGCTGTGAGTTATTGCATATAAAATAAAATGCTTAGGGAGGTAGAGGAAGGTAGAGGAAGGTAGAGGTAGATAGAGGTAGATACTAGACTCGGTAGATACTAGGTCAGGTAGGTTCTCGGTAGGTGTGCGTGCTCTTTGTATATCTTTATCTTCTTCCGCTAATTTATACTTTAGGGCTGGTGGTACGATACATATAGCAGACAAGCTTATCTAATTGCCCCTCCCCCACCACTAATAATAATAAAGTTCAGAGTTCATCCACATCTACATCCACATCTATCGTACATCCACTTCCATCCATTTATTAACATGACCGACGGTCGACCGTTGTAGCTAGGTAGGCAATTAATTATTCACTTTTTTCAATTCTTTCAACACCTGCTCACTCCATATCAATATCTACAACTTGGGTCAAACTTCCATCTGTTCAGCTGAACAATCATTCTTCGTCTTTGCGAAGATCTATCGTTATTTCCACTTCACGTTCTACATACAGTCTACCGACAGTTTACTCGGATACTATGCGCCTATCTACTTTCTAATTTACCCATCCAGCCGAATTGGAACACCACACCAACTAATCATCCACTTCCAAGGTAGTCGAAACAACGCCACAAAGGGACGTCGTGCTTTCGTGCTTTCGTGGTTCTGTGATTTGCGAAACCAGAATAAAAAAAGAGGTGTGGTAGCACGAAGCGGGAAGCCTTGATCATAATCAAGAGCGGGGCTGATATCTTTCAGTCCTATCTTTACCACCTTTTACTTAAGGTCATCTCACTTTCTAGTATACACTTGTGGCTATCCTAAAAAACAAACCTTGGGAATAATGGCTGCACAATCAGGAAATTCTCGAACGAATCGGGGAGAGACTTCTCTTGATGCGGCAATGCGAGCGCCTTCTACTACTACTCCAGATGTCGTCGTTCTCAGTTTTGTGGACGAAGATGTAAAGGTCAAAGAAGTGGCAGATCCTAAAAAGGATCTTTGGGTGTCTAGTGTCGATGGGTATGTTACATCTATCATCTCTTGCGATTCTGTTTGGAATGCACATCAGTTTCTCAGAAATCGCAAACAACCCATGCTGATTTAATGATTACTTAGTCGCTATTCATCACCGATGATACCGATCCGTGTCGGACCTCATGCCCAAACCTTTTATGTTCACCGCGATATACTCACCAAATCGGAATACTTCAGAAAGGCGTTGGATGGAGGGTTCAAAGAAGCCCAAGATCAAGCTCTTGATTTACCCGAGGAAAATCCCACGCTGTTCGAGTTTGTCATCGCGTTCCTCTATGAGTCAAAGTACTCTCCTTTGCGTCCTGTCGCAGAAATCCTCGTCGTCGAACCGGAAAAAGGTAAAGGAAAAGAACAGAACGAAGATGGAAATGCTTCGGGTAGTGATGATGGATCAGACAGTGGAACCGCAAGCGATGAAAGGTAGAATCCCCTGCTAAATTTGCGAAACCTCTATGAGATCTTGTTACTAAATGCTCAAAGTGCCAGAAGTCGGAGAAGACGCGAAACTCGTCGCAGACGTCAAGAGCGAGCCTGGGAACAAAGACAACGAAAGGAATCTGGACGTCATCGGCCGGATTGCAATTGTGCTCAATGTACCGTAGAAACCTTTGGTCCAACCTGCTGGAACTGTGGCGTAACGAGAAGAATACCTCCACCCAGAAATCGTTGGATGAATGGTCTCCCACCACCACCTCAGCCAATGCCGGTCGTCATGGGTCGTAATGGTTATCCTCAAGCTCCTGGCCCTAGAGATCGTAGAAGAGGCTCTCGAAACAATGCTTTGGATGAGCCTCCTGTAGAGGAGAGAATGTCTCAAGAAGATTTGAGAACATGGTCAATTGCGTATTCTATAAGCGTCGATGTTTACGTTTGCGCCGAGAGATATCTCATGCAGGACTTCAAAAACTGTATATCCGCATTCATCGTAAACAATTTCGAAGTTGCTGGATCAGATGCTGCACTACCTTCGGTCTTGAAATCATGTAAAACTTTATATGATGGTGTAAGCTCAATGGATCCTCTGCTCAAAAAAGTCTTTGCTAGAGTTGGTTTCTTGCAAGCTAGATTGTGGAAGAAGTATCCAGAGGAAACCTCAAATTTCTTCATGGACAATCCGGAACTATCGACGCTAATTCTTAAGGAAATGGCCGAGAGGAGAGAGGAGGATGTCAAAGATGATTTGCCTGCCATGGATCGCCCTCCATTGCCACCTTTGCCAAGAGAAGACATAATAATGCAAGGTCCGAGACGTCGAAATTATGGTCCAATGCCTTATCACTAACTTTGACAAGACTACAGACCGCAACGGGCACCACAACGATGGTACCATATGACCTAACATATTCTGATGCATATACATCAAGATATGCATCATTTTTCCTTTTATTTATGGGATCAAGGATCACGATGGAGCAAGGGCTCACGTTTCCATTTTTTTTAGCGGTTCTTTCTCATCTGGGATACTTGGGAATGGAGCTTTGGGATACCTTGCATAGTGATGCGCATCTTCTCCTTATACCCTCAGCGTTTATGAAAGCAAAGGCTATTGGGGAGGACAGGAGTTTGAGGACAGGTCTTGGTCTTGATCACGTTTACCAGCATTAACTTTATTTAGCACGGAAAAATACACATTTCGGTGTAGCAAAGCCCGATATTTTAATCCATGGATGTAGTTGTGTTGTGATGTGATATGATGATTGATATGTACCTAGGTATTAGGCAATATATTTTCCGTCTTTCTATTGGTCGCTTATTTCACTTAAAAAGTGTATGTGGCATCCTGGTCGGATTCTTCCGAGCTCTTTTCCCCCAGATCTGCATAACCCCGCCATTTAACATCTCTCTTCATTCAAAAAGTGTCTTCAATTAGGAATCAAGTTTGTATGCATTCATTGACTAGGTAGGTAGGTATGGATGAACGACACTTGAAGTATCTGGGTATATAAAGGTTGTAAGTGCCAAGGAAATTGAAGGTTGAAGTTATCATCCATTACATTTCCATGATCGTTTTGGTTGCTTTCAGAATGGATTTAGCCTCACTTCAATCCGTTTTACTTTCGTTATTCGTCTTTCCCTTTCTTGTAATTGCACAAGATATCACAGCATCTCTAGATTATGGCACATTCCAAGGTGCATACTCATCTACGTATAACATAACCTATTATCAGAAAATCCCCTTTGCAGCACCCCCAACTGGGAATAATAGGTTTAGAGGCCCACAGCCTCCTCTTCCTATCACAAATGGAACCTATAACTCCATTCAAACATTTCCCGCTTGTCCTCAAAAAGGTGTAAGCACTTTATCTCCATAGTCATGCTACATATCCGGTCAATTTAAGTCTGACATGACCAAATGTAGAATGTTGGATCAGAGGACTGTCTTTACTTATCCCTCTACTCTCGCCCATGGACGTCCAATCAGCCACTCCGACCAGTCATGGTAGTTTTCTTCGGGGGCGGATTCATTCAAGGCGGTGGCTCGCTGGCAGTTCCCCCTTCGGCCTATCCCGTTCTCAATGTCTCTGCTCAGAATGATATGCTCTTCGTATACCCCAATTATCGTGTCAATACATTTGGATTTCTCCCAGGAAAAGAGATTGCCGAAGATGAAAATTCAGATCTAAATCCTGGTTTGCTGGATCAGAGAGCCGTTCTTGAATGGGTAAATAAGTATATCGATCAGTTTGGCGGAGACAAAGATAATGTGGGCATTTGGGGGCAAAGTGCAGGAGCCGGCAGTGTGGTGTTTGTTACTCCTTTTTACTACCGCTAGAGCAATCCCTCTTATATGCTGAATGTATGTATTGACTAACGACAATCTCATACAGCGCACAAGTCCTCGCCACTTCCGGGGAAACCACTCCACCCCTCTTTAATCGTGCTCTCGCTTCCTCTCCTTTCTGGCCCAAATCATACGCCTACGATGCTCCCCAAGCTCAATCCATTTACGATACCATGACGGACCTGACAAACTGCACTGGTGCTATCAATGGCACTCTACAGTGTTTGAAATCTCTAGAATGGGAGGTTCTAGCCGAAGCCGCGCTAGTTGTTGCGGCGAGTCATACTTGGAATACTAGTAGTTATACGTGGGCACCAGTTATTGATGGGAAGTTCCTGAAGAAAACTTTGAGTGAAGCGACGGTCAATGCGAAGGGTGGCAGAGGCGGCAAAGGAGAAATCGCTATTACAGGGGGATGGGGCATGTATAATGCGCATGAAGGTAAAATGCGTTTCTTTTCCGGTCAGAATGGTGAAAGTCGAGTATTGTGTTGAA